GTGAGTGTGGCATAGTCCAAAAGTATTCTATTATAAATGTTAGAATTCTAGTCTTTTTGGTTACTATTATGTATTAACTCTTTCCTTAAAGGCGTAGATAAAAGTATTGTGAGGTTATCTACCCTGAAAAAGTTAAAAACAAGTTCACAAACAGTAGACAAAAATCAGGGCTGACTTAAAAAGATCAAGTGGTCCATTATGTGGAACACTCGTCAGTTAAGTCTGTTTGGTCACTATTTGGATGATTTTTTTGGACGCATTTTAATCAAAGCAGGCATGATAGCATCATAATTATTTATCTCATGTGAAATGGCTTTCAATTTAATTTTGTCTCATTCTATTTATTTTTAATTCCAGAAAAGACCCTACCGTTCAAAATATTTGAACATTGCTGACCCATACCGTTCAAAATATTTGATAACATTGCCGCTGACAAATGGATGTAGAGAGCAATAATATAGCATCAATTCACAATGCAAAGCGTTTAATTATTGTATTTTAAAATTGTCATTGATTCATTGATTAAGTCATATATTTCAATTTTTATAAAATTTAATTATTGTTTTAAAATTGTCATTTTCTTGTTAGGCAGCTAAGTTCAGTCCTGGAAAGAAAGAGTATTAGACTGAAAGGCTTGAACCTAGAGTGTTTAATTTTGTGCCCGTGCAAGATAGTACAACGTTGATTTTCTTACCCAGCAACTTTTAATAGAGAGCGTTAATTTTGCACCTGATATACTGCGTTTTTGTATGCTGCGAAGGGGCATATTGATATATTATAACAGAGTTGCCCCCTTCGATCTCCTGGCAGTATTACCGAGCGTGTCTGCCCTGTTGTCATGTTGGTCGTCTTGCAAGATTTCGATCTCGTATCGTGATCAATAATAAATATTTGAGTCATCCTTTACTCTCCCTCCCCGCCGCTTTATTCGCGCCCACTTGATGTTGAAGGACACTCTTGAAAAATATAAAGACAGTCATTCACACTGCTCTTAGGGGAGGACAGTCCATGTAATAAAAGGACATTTTACGGAACATGAAACTGCTCATCACAATAATGTCAGAGAGGAAAAAACAGCAGCTCAATATTGTCGAAATCTCAGAGTTTCTGAAGTTAGATCAGCTATTTATTCATATATGGACACCGCTAAGAGGTTTAAGAGGTTGAAGTGCGTCCTTAATTTCGTGTGCTAAAGCTATTTGAAATAGTAAAAAAAAAAAAAATCAAAACAAAAAAGACGAAGAAGAAGGAGAAGCAAGAAGAAGAAGAAGAAGAAGAAGAAGAAGAAGAAGAAGAAGAAGAAATTCCTCAAAAATACCGGAGCAATACACCAGCGCTGACTAAAATTGAAAAGGTTTTTCAATACAAAATGATAGAATGAATTAAGAGTTTATTATGTTTGACATCCTTTAACTGCATGCACGCAATGTTAGAATGATTTTCGTTTGTGAGTTGCTTCTCACAAGGAAACAAAAAATAAAATGAAGATTAATTTATTTTATAAAGTCATAATATGATGCAACGTCAACGCGCATGATGATTATGCAAAACTAAAACGCAAAGCATGTAATCTATCAAGAAGAGTACATTATTATAAGGTCAATTTTACTGGTACAGCACGAGCGAAGGGCTCTATTCTCTCCTTGGTAGCTCAGGAAGCGTGCGAATCCTTTCCATTTTCCAGGACAATTAAATTTGTACTTTACACAATCTTTTTGTCAGATATAACGAGAATAACTCTCATATTGGGGACTGCTAAAGAATTACAGCTGCAAAGTGAAAAAAAATATGGCAGCTGATATCATTATCGTGATGATTTTGCAATATCGTTGCTTGTTTTTAAGAGAAAGAATATTTATTAATAGCCCAAGACTAACTCCAAAACTAAAAATTATTTCACAGGCCTAGTATTATACTTTTGTACTGACATTAAGACCAGCAGAAATTCCATTTCCACGAAAAACGTACTTAGACAGTCATGACTATGTTGAAAATTACACCTAACTAACCCGTAAAAACGACTTTAACCCGGGTCCGCAGTATTGATCGAAAACTTTTAACCGGGTGATGGGTTCCTGACATGGGCCTTAAAAATGGATGTAAGTAACTACATTTTTCAGATTGATAAATTATAAAGACAAACAAAAAGTCGACACCATATACTATTTTATCGCTTCATGTCAAGAACTTTTCCTCAAACAAAGAGAAAGTGGTTTCAATATTGAGGTAGCCGGAATCAACAGCACTTTACAGGCGAAATTTCAATTCCTTGTCATCATGGCATGAGTTTTACTCAGTTTGTATCCCTGCTTATCAATGCCAGGTTAGACTTATTAAGGTGATGATACCTTATTCTGAACCACATGATCTTATCCGGCAATTCAAACCCATTCAAACTTTGAAGTTTGGTTTGAGAGGAAAAACTACTATTAAAAGGAAAATTCAGTAATTTAAACTTCACCTGGGGAAACGAGAGTAGTTAAAAATATCTACAAATATGTGAAAAATGCATCCTGGTGGGTATAAGCCAATAAAATATATAGAGATTACTTCATGGGCAGGCCGCGCGTACGGGATTTTCTCACGAGTTGACAAACAATGAACCACGTATTCACTCACGTTGACTCAAACAGATTCACTCAGTATTTATGAAATGAAAATAATGTACAATGACCCAATTAGTATTGTCAAAACCACCAAAGGGAAAACCCTTATATATTTAGATTAGACAAAGTTTGATTTGTCTTAGAAATTAGACTGTTCACATTCCCTTATTTTCCCGCAAAATCATCGTGATCGATCAACAATCGTTACCGGAGGCTATTTTTATTTCAAAGGGATCGAGCTGAGGGGGTGGTAGGCGTCGGGCTTTACAAGCTAAACTCTGTTCCTTTGAAACTAAGATGGCCGTCGGTAACATCTCGACTATCTTCCGAACAAAAGATAGGTGACTATATGAAAAGTCTAATTTGAAACTAACCTAAGAGATTGAAGTATATCCTCCCCTTCGTAATGAAGCTTTCTGAAATATCACAGTGACGAGACACGAAAATATTAATCCAGACCACATTTTTTTTATAAATTGAAAGAATAACTTCGGTCAAAAAGGTGTACATCTATAAAATGAAAAAGGAATTTGGAATTCATGACTTATTTGATTTCCGTTCTATGTGTACTCCTACCATACAAGAACGAAATTAACTGAAGATAGTTGCCTAATGGAGCGTCGATAAATATGTTATATAATTAATTATCTAAAAGAAATTTCATGACGCACATGTATATTATCCAGGTAAAAGGGAAGGGCCTATTGGGATGTTAATTGATTGCCCCTTTCCGGTTCTGTGAGGAAATTATTCCGTCATGCAAGGTAGCGCATCCACATAGTGGTTCTTTTTTTACCATTCCTGCTGGAACTGGGATTTATAAATGCTCGCTCTTGAGGATAGGAGTACCCGGAGTAAAGAGGAGAGAACCAACAACAAACTCAACCCGCATAATTATGGCGTTGACGCCTAAAATTGAACCCGGGCCACACTGGTGGAAAGCGAGAGCTCTCAACATTGGGCCATCCCTTTCTCCCCCACGCAATGAAATCAAGCGACTGACTCGTCCTCAGTCGTCTCTCTTGAGAAAGGAGAGAAGCGCGAGGGGTGATGGGAAGGAGGAAAGGGGAACGGAGATCTCTGTCTATTCTGTGGCCAATTATCGACCCCATCTTAGTCACTTTTGGGCAAATGTAATTTTCGCAATCCTTACTTAGTCACTTTGTATTTATGTATCTACCTTATATAGAATGAAGAACACTTTACTTTTCACCTACAGTAAAAACATTCTGGTACGTTTGCTAATCGTAAATGTGAAGAACTTTCTTACCCCAAAAATCCGAAAATGTGCGACCCCATTCTAGGAACTCCATTGAAAATGCGACCCCATTATAGTCAACCCAGTCAATAATTTATGCCATGTAAGATTGTTCCAAGGGTGTTATTTCTGTTACCAAATTACTACTGTAGGTACTAAGTAAAAAATCTCAAAAACTTCCTTAATGCAATAAAAGATTTTATTTCATTCCAGAAAATTTGGACAGCGAAGTTTACAGTAGTATATGTTATCGACACAGGATACTATCAAGAGGTAAATTAAGCCGTTTTACTGTTCGCTTTGTTGTTTTGTCAATCTCCATCAAACGCATATTTGTGAAAATCTGAAAAAGGAAGAGATGTTGAAAAATTAGTTAACTGACGTTAGTGAAAAAAAAAACAGTTTTATTCAATTTATAGTGGTAAATTGTTTTTCAACACTTATTTTGAATAAATTCAGTCTAGAAAGAGACGTTGAGTACGTTAATGAGCCGAAAACGTTTTGAATAATATAACTATGTATCGGATTCGGCCTTCCTGGTTTATGAAGAATTATGTAGATCTCAAAGGGTGTTATAGGGGAAATTTATGTCGTCATACTCAACCAACTAACAAAAAGAAAACAACAACAACAACAAACACACAACGGAAACAAAACATTGGTGCTCGCTAAGTTTTGTTTATGCACTATGAAAACTTTATAACACTGAAAAATTTCAACACTCTTTAGATTCATTGACCTATGTTATATTAATAACTGCCAAAAGGAGACTTTGAAGTAACAAATATTATTCCAAAGTGACAGAGACGTTAATATTTTATTAATCATCACCAAAACCCGACCAGGCGAGTTTCAAATTACTGACGAGTGAGCTCGGCTTAAGTTTGTAATTTGAACACAAATTAGAAACGGTCATTCTTCAGCCATTATAAGTGATCATAGTTTTAACAATTGTCGTAAAATTAAATCATAAAGCGTGTATAGATATTTAACAGTCACATAGTAGTTAGTAAAAACGAAGACAGGACTTATTCAGTATCATCCCATCATCACTGTATGTAGGACCAATTACGAGATAGCTGAGCTTAAATTTCATTCTCAACGAACATGTAGGTGTACTTACCATGTTTCAACATTTATTTGCCATTAACCGCGACGACCTCCACGTCTTCCACGTCTTCGCCCTCTACGTCCTCTTCGTCCTCGCCGTCCACGTCGACCACCTCTACGTCCTCGACGACCACCACGTCGACGGCCTCTACCTCCGCGACGACCACCACGTCTACGTCGAAAACGACGCGTTACTCTTCGAATCACTCGGCGGACGGGTCGTCGGACACGACGAACTACTCGCCGAGCAACTCGTCGGAACCGAATAGGGGCGGGATCTGAAAAATCGTTTCCTTGACTGAGTAAAGAGTTTTCATCTTCGTCTTCATTCTCCGCAACTTCGCCATCACTATCTTCTCCTTGCACTTCGTCAACAGCATTTTCGTCTTCGTCTTCTTCATCTTCATCGTCTTCATTATCGTCGTTTTCATCGTCTGTATCTTCGTCCGGGTTTTCATCTTCATCTTCTAATTCTCCGTCGTCATCTTCATCTAGCACGTATGTCAGTTCTCCATCACTAAAACCAAATCAATAGATTGCAATGCTGAAGTAGGAATTTAAGGTACTCTTCACTTATTTGAACGAATTATGTGATTAACATTTACAATGCAAAACCGGCCTTTAAAGGAAGTTATTTCCGAAAGATAGCTCAGAAATGCTCAAACCTGAAACTTAAAGAAAATTGTTCCTAGAACAAATGTTAAAGTATGCGACCCCCGGCCTCATGTTGCTGACTTATTCATGTTCTTTTTTTTAAGCTACACTGTTTTAATTTTACGTGTCGTAACATTTTTTTTGTCTTACCCTTCACGTTGTTCTGCCTGAAATTCGTTGGCAATTTCATTCATTTCATTGTTAATTGATTTTTCTGCATTTTCGTTGAATGGAAGAGCCAAGCTGAAGGCCAGCACATAGCCAACCAAGGTTAACAGGATTAAAGTCTTCATCGTTCAGCCTTATCCCGACTTCTACTCCGTGGAGCACAGAATCGAGCTTTTATATCTTTGGTGGGACCTTTCTTAAGCATGCTATATTGATATTGTAAATATTAACCATCGACTTACGTTCACATGAAAATACTCAACACATATTGTGAACATCAAACCCCGAAATTCCAAATTTAACATCTATTAGTGCATAGCTTGCTAAATTTAATAATTCTGAAAACCCACACTTGAAGCCTATACCTAGAGGCGATAAGTATGGCGGAAATTGTACAGTGAAAATGTTCCTTAATCAGTTGTTGTTGATGTTTTGTTTTGTTGTTGTTAATATGATTGTTTTTCCCCCAACTGATTTCCCTGCCATAGAGAAGATACTCTGCAAATTTTATTTCAGTCTGTTTCTTAGCAGGTTTTATTTGCCCTTTGGAACTCAACAATTTAAAATGCTAAAAAATGTTTTTCATTCCATTACTGGGTGAGATTGCGGACTACTCTCATGGTCTATTTCTGTGAATAATACATCTTTTTCAAAAAGTATTTTCAAGAATGAAAGTACGTGCATATCCTAGTTCCGCCTTGATCGTCAGTATGATATCGGCCAAGGATAGTCTAATATGTGACTGACTAACAGTATTTGTTAATGTACCCTTGAGAGGCCCTGGGATTTACAAAGGATCCCATACTTCGTGTTTAAAGCTCCCCTTGGCGTATGGAGAAAGTATTGCGATTTCTTTGATTTACCATTGTTTTATTATTGCGATTTGCCTCCAGTGCATGTCCGCTTTTAATATACATGTATCTGCTCATTAGGAAAAAAAGACCCTATTTTCCACCAATACGTCGAATAAAGACTTTATCCTTTCAAGAGTATCCTCCCAAATAAAGTTGACAGAGAGTCTTAAACGCTGTGAGACTAAGGGGTGATGTAGATAAGTCACGTTGAGACCCAATTACACTTCTTTCCTGGTAATTGTTGGGATAAATGCACATATTAAGTCTGTTTAAGAGGTTAAAAATGACCTCACTGCACCCGAGTGAGTGTCGCATAGTCCAAAAGTATTCTATTATAAATGTTAGAATTCTAGTCTTTTTGGTTACTATTATGTATTAACTCTTTCCTTAAAGGCGTAGATAAAAGTATTGTGAGGTTATCTACCCTGAAAAAGTTGAAAACAAGTTCACAAACACTAGACAAAAATCAGGGCTGACTTAAAAAGATCAAGTGGTCCATTATGTGGAACACTCGTCAGTTAAGTCTGTTTGGTCACTATTTGGATGATTTTTTTGGTTGCATTTTAATCAAAGCAGGCATGATAGCATCATAATTATTTATCTCATGTGAAATGGCTTTCAATTTAATTTTGTCTCATTCTATTTATTTTTAATTCCAGAAAAGACCCCTACCGTTCAAAATATTTGTAACATTGCTGACAAATGGATGTAGAGAGCAATAATATAGCATCAATTCCAAGCAAAGCGTTTAATTATTGTATTTTAAAATTGTCATTGATTCATTGATTAAGTCATATATTTCAATTATTTAAAAAGTTAACTTTCTTGTAGGCAGCTAAGTTCAGTCCTGGAAAGAAAGAGTATTAGACTGAAAGGCTTGAACCTAGAGTGCCCGTGCAAGATAGTACAACGTTGATTTTCTTACCCAGCAATTTTTAATAGAGAGCGTTAATTTTGCACCTGATATACTGCGTTTTTGTATGCTGCGAAGGGAATATTGATATATTATAACAGAGTTGCCCCCTTCGATCTCCTGGCAGTATTACCGAGCGTGTCTGCCCTGTTGTCATGTTGGTCGTCTTGCAAGATTTCGATCTCGTATCGTGATCAATAATAAGGTATTTGAGTCATCCTTTACTCTCCCGCCGGCTTTATTCGCGCCCACTTGATGTTGAAGGACACTCTTGAAAAATATAAAGACAGTCATTCACACTGCTCTTAGGGGAGGACAGTCCATGTAATAAAAGGACATTTTACGGAACATGAAACTGCTCATCACAATAATGTCAGAGAGGAAAAAACAGCAGCTCAATATTGTCGAAATCTCAGTGTTTCTGAAGTTAGATCAGCTATTTATTCATATATGGACACCGCCAAGAGGTTTAAGAGGTTGAAGTGCGTCCTTAATTTCGTGTGCTAAAGCTATTTGAAATAGTAAAAAAAAAAAAAATCAAAACAAAAAAAGACGAAGAAGAAGGAGAAGAAGAAGAAGAAGAAGAAGAAGAAGAAGAAGAAGAAGAAGAAGAAGAAGAAGAAGAAGAAGAGGAAGAAGAAGAAGAAGAAATTCCTCACAGAAATATACCGGAGCAATACACCAGCGCTGACTAAAATTGAAAAGGTTTTTCAATACAAAATGATAGAATGAATTAAGAGTTTATTATGTTTGACATCCTTTAACTGCATGCACGCAATGTTAGAATGATTTTCGTTTGTGAGTTGCTTCTCACAAGGAAACAAAAAATAAAATGAAGATTAATTTATTTTATAAAGTCATAATATGATGCAACGTCAACGCGCATGATGATTATGCAAAAGAAAGACGCAAAGCATGTAATCTATCCAAGAAGAGGTACATTATACCATAAGGTCAATTTTGTTGGTACAGCACGAGCGAAGAGGGCTCTATTCTCTCCTTGGTAGCTCAGGAAGTAGCGTGCGAATCCTTGGCCTAAAATTATCTTTATTTTCCAGGACAATTAAATTTGTACTTTACACAATCTTTTTGTCAGATATAACGAGAATAACTCTCATATTGGGGACTGCTAAAGAATTACAGCTGCAGAGTGAAAAAAAATATGGCAGCTGATATCATTATCGTGATGATTTTGCAATATCGTTGCTTGTTTTTAAGAGAAAGAATATTTATTAATAGCCCAAGACTAACTCCAAAACTAAAAATTATTTCACAGGCCTAGTATTATACTTTTGTACTGACATTAAGACCAGCAGAAATTCCATTTCCACGAAAAACGTACTTAGACAGTCATGACTATGATGAAAATTACACCTAACTAACCCGTAAAAACGACTTTAACCCGGGTCAGCAGTATTGATCGAAAACTTTTAACCGGGTGATGGCATGGGTTCCTGACATGGGCCTTGAAAATGGATGTAAGTAACTACATTTTTCAGTTTGTTAAATTATAAAGACAAACAAAAAGTCGACACCATATACTATTTTATCGCTTCATGTCAAGAACTTTTCCTCAAACAAAGATAAAGTGGTTTTAATATTGAGGTAGCCGGAATCAACAGCACTTTACAGGCGAATTTCAATTCCTTGTCATCATGGCATGAGTTTTACTGTTTGTATCCCTGCTTATCAATGCCAGGTTAGACTTATTAAGGTGATGATACCTTATTCTGAACCACATGTTCTTATCCGGCAATTCAAACCCATTCAAACTTTGACAGTTTGGTTTGAGAGGAAAAACTACAATTAAAAGGAAAATTCAGTAATTTAAACTTCACCTGGGGAAACGAGAGTAGTTAAAAATATCTACAAATATGTGAAAAATGCATCCTGGTGGGTATAAGCCAATAAAATATATAGAGATTACTTCATGGGCAGGCCGCGCGTACGGGATTTTCTCTCGAGTTGGTGATGTATCAGAAATCTCACTTGCTCGCTGCGCTCGCTCGTTCAATTTCTGATACAAACAATGAAGCACGTATTCACTCACGTTGACTCAAACAGGTTCACTCAGTATTTATGAAATAAAAATAATGTACAATGACCCAATTAGTATTGTCAAAACCACCAAAGGGAAAACCCTTATATATTTAGATTAGACAAAGTTTGATTTGTCTTAGAAATTAGACTGTTCACATTCCCTTATTTTCCCGCAAAATCATCGTGATCGATCAACAATCGTTACCGGAGGCTATTTTTATTTCAAAGGGATCGAGCTGAGGGGGTGGTAGGCGTCGGGCTTTACAAGCTGGACTCTGTTCCTTTGAAACTAAGATGGTCGTCGGTAACATCTCGACTATCTTCCGAACAAAAGATAGGTGACTATATGAAAAGTCTAATTTGAAACTAACCTAAGAGATTGAAGTATATCCTCCCCTTCGTAATGAAGCTTTCTGAAATATCACAGTGACGAGACACGAAAATATTAATCCAGACCACATTTTTTATATAAATTCAAAGAATAACTTCGGTCAAAAAGGTGTACATCTATAAAATGAAAAAGGAATTTGGAATTCATGACTTATTTGATTTCCGTTCTATGTGTACTCTTACCATACAAGAACGAAATTAACTGAAGATAGTTGCCTAATGGAGCGTCGATAAATATGTTATATAATTAATTATCTAAACAAAAATTATGTCCCAAACATAATTACATTTTTGCGTCGGGATACCTGTTGTTATCAAGCACTGGCTGCGTGAACTGGGTACTAGGTAACATGTGATCGAGCATTGCTTTATAGTACGTTGCGCGAATACGAGGGCCCCTTTTTACCTCTACACCATCGTGTGGCAAGTTATCTGTTCAAATTTTTCAGGCAAGTTTTTTTGTGTTTTTCTTTTTTGTCGGTATGGAACAGCCGAGGGTTCTGATTTTGGGTCACTCCTTTATACGTAGGCTCCGGGATTTTATTATTAGGAATAGTCCCACATATAACCTTAATTTAAACATTAATACCCCGGTTACAATTCATTGGCATGGCGTTGGGGGTCGAACAATCGATAAGGTTAGGCGGTTTGATTTAACCGAAGTAGAACGTTTTAAACCTGATGTTGTACTTTTACAAATCGGTACTAACGACCTCACACGCCGTCGGTCCTCTCCAGCATCTGTTGGCTCTGCCATCAAGGATTTGGTCTGTTTACTTCATAATGAGTACGGGGTTCGCTTAGTTTGTGTTGGTCAAACCGTTAAAAGGCACCCGGTTGGGACGTTCAATGCAAACGTACAAATCCTGGCGCAGTACCTTCAAGGGGTCTTAGAACCGCTCCCCTTTGCCATATATTGGACGCATCG